TGTATATTAACAATGGATCACATGACTATTTTTGGTCTACAAATACTGTTATACAAAGTTATTGACTTGGTAAATGGATTGCATTTTTCTGGTCTGAGCAACCACTCAAAGTGCTTTACAAAACTATAACATGTTTTTATTCAAAATAAAGAGGTACAACGACAGTCTGTGCCTGAAATTGGCTCACAGGTAACAGTACTTATTTTTTCTTCTTCTTTTTTTGTCCACGAGTACCCTTGCTTGTTACTGCAGACCGCCACCTCTTAGTGAATTTAGGTACTCATCCCAAAACACCTGTGTTACTCTTGATTTCTGGTTTGGTTGGTTAGGTTTAAAATTTGTCAATAAAGTTTAAAAGGATTTTTTTTTGGGATATTTATCAATTATTGGATATATTATTGGGAATACATGAGTAATACGGTAATGAGCAATGAAATTAGACACAAATAATGGTGAATTTATCTCTTATTGTCTGTTTACTTGTTTATTTTTTGTTGTAATAACTGACCATCACAAACTTGTTAGATGTTTTCTGTGGAGTTGAAAGGCGTTCTGTGATTCCACTGTATAAATAAAGACACACTCATTTCCTGGAGGCAGTCACAAGATCGTGGGAAACACTTTTCAACATCAGTGCCTTGCCCATGGGAGCCTCGGCAGCAGCTGCTGTTTCTCTTGGACTGACTAGATAATTCTTTCAAAATAAAATGTCCCAAAAAGTAAAAAATAAAAATAAAAAAGGAAACACGGGTGATGATGCTGCTGACCTCTGACCCTAAAATGAATAAAAAACAAGTCCCTGGAGTTAGTCAGTTCCCAGTAATACAGTAAACAGCACGTCTGTCTATTTCAGGTTCAACTATCACGGCATTGATCTGAACAGGAACTTCCCTGATGCTTTCGCTGGTCTCCGAAGGCAACAGCAGCTCGATGAGAAGCAGCGGGAGGCGGAGGTTGGTCACCTTCTGTGTGTGTGTGTGTGTGTGGGTGTAGCAGACTTCAGATTTTACGTAACATTTATTAGCCTGTAAATAAGAACAAAGTAAGGACTGTGAATAATCTTGTGTTTTAAAGAATACAGCTGGTGATTTTCTGTATTAAAACACCAACAGGGAATTTATCTACTACTAAGTACAGTCACTAGAAGCGCATTCATGGCCTTTTGTAAAGGTTTCTGTGGGATACCTGTGGTGTAGCTAAGCTAGCAATATGTGTGTTTGTCTGTGAGTGTGATCAAGGTAAAGATTGCAGTCAGGTGATGCCTCTACAGCTAAGTATATATACTAAGTAGAGGGTTAGCAAAAACTAGCATAAACTCCTGTGAATGATGCCACTCCACCTCAAAGCGGTAGGTGGGGAAGTTGAGGCGCCTTCCTCTGATTAATGTTTTTTTTTATATATATAAATGTCACGACGTAAAGTAGTCCCAAACAATTGACTCTATGTCAGCATTGATCGTGCAAGGTTCAGGGTGATTTAAAATAGTAGAGGGCGTATTGAGACATTTTTAACCCATGAAATGCAGATTTTCATAAATTAGATTTTAACACCTGCATTGATGTGTTTCATCAGAGTACAGTCATATACCATCATTTAGTTTACAGCTCAAAAAACATGTTTAACACATCAATGATGCACTGGTTGACATATTTAGTTGACTTTTTCCCACATACGCTGTCCTGCTGCCCCAAATATTCACTAGAGCAACCAATGTGGATTAATCTGCTGCTGAAAATAGTCCCCAAAACATGCACTATTTCCTCCTGTTTGTCTGATAAAAAAAACAACAGTGACTAGCTTTATCCTTTGAATAATGTGTAAAATATGCTGTTTTAAGTCCCCTCTGTGATTGGTTGGTTGCTGTGTTTCAGGTGAGAGCCGTGATAGGCTGGTTGAGGACCGAGAGTTTTGTTCTCTCTGCCAACCTTCATGGAGGAGCTCTGGTGGCCAGTTACCCTTACGACAACAGCAACAGAGGTAAAACACACACACGCACAGGAACTGTAGATTCTTTGTGAAATTCAATTTGTAAAATAGCAGCGGACACGACTCAAAGGTTTCTCAGAACAAATAGGAACAAAACAATGGCTTCATGAAAGTAAGACAAAACCATCCTGTGACAATGTTTCTGTGTATATTTTCTTTCTTTACATTAAAGTGCAGAGCAGGAGACAGGAAACAGGCTCTTAGACTCTGTCCCATGACATTGTTGAACAGCGTCAGATAAATATACAAAGCTCAGCTGAGCAACTTGCCCACATACTGCGACCAAGGAGCACATTTTTGTTGTTGTTGTTGTTGTTGAAAACCCACCATGGTGCCTTTTTAAGAGTAAATAAACTAAATGTGGTTCACAGCCTTTCCTATAAAT